ATTTTTTTTTTATGTTTTATGAATAAACACGATGTTTTGGAAATATTTATCAAAAGAAATTTATACTATGTTGCGAATTACAATTTCGAGATAACCTTCTTTTATTTACGAACTTATGTCTTTGATGCTGAAATTGACAACTTTATAAAAATACATTTTCACTGAAATGATGAAATCTGGGTGTCGGAAAGGTGTAAAATTATTCTTCGGAAAAGAAAAAAAACAGTAGTTGAGCTAGATAAGAAATTATACGGGGGCAGGCTCCTATGGAGAATTAACATTACTGGAAACAGGCCCTTTGTCTGTTTACAATAATCTATTCTCAGACACGGGATTCCGATAGAGCTACCCGTATAGAAATACCTGAGTACGCGCCATAACAGTGCACGGTTGGAAGCGCGCACTAACGGATCATAGCTTTGGGGAAATGGGCATAGCAACCCGCCATAGCTCTTTAACATGGAGACCAGCGCTTCAGGTAAGTCAATATTCTATATCTGTCGTAGTGCAGATCCGATTCAAAAGCGAGTGGACACAAAGAATTCTTTAAAACAACCTGTATCAGCCACTAAAACAGTTATCACCGTAGTTTTTTGCCAACCTCGACACAACATTAATTCCAGACACTGGGCCGCGAAATAACGTTCACAGTAGATTCTTAATTTGAGGTTATCGGCAACTTCCCAGCATATTTTCCCCATAATGTCGTAGGCAAACTTAATTAGTATCGTTTCTAAAATTCTGCCCCAATAACTACTTTATCAGAAACGACATTATTACGAGAAACAATGAAGAAAACATAGAAATCTATTTTTAAGTAACGCACACAATAATTTTGAATATAATATCGTACTCATTTGTTTATGTATTTCCGAAGGCAAACACGTTTAAATCATTTCCACATGTCAAGTAATATTGTAAAGACGTATTTTGGTTTTACAGGAAATGCCACTTAGGAAAAGATCGAACCTATCCCTAAACCGTACAAAACATCGACAACCCAAACAGAAGATGCTGATCGTAGATCCCAACCGAAATGCTGTGAAGAGAGGCTCTCTTGGAGTAAGGTGGGATTGGTCAGGAGGAATGGGTCAAAACTACTTCTAACTGTCAGACAATGACTCGGCGAGTGAATAAGCTTATACTAATTTTAGTGTTAAATAACTAAACAAATTAATTGATGGCTTGTGGAATGATTTTGTAAAAAGTAAAAAAATAATGAGAGAACACATTAAGTCAAACGCCCATCGGATCAACTTTGTATCTAAATATCATATAGATACACATTGATATTGTATTTGAGAAAAACATATTATAAGTTGCTGCCTGCAATGATACATATTTGTCATATCGACACGAAGGCTAAACTAAGAATGTCACTGAGTAAAATATCATCATGAGAACATATTTTTTCATGTTTAGAAAGCCCACTTATGTACCGATACGTGCGCGCCATAAAAACTTAAGAAAAAACAACCTTACATCGGTGCTCCTTAGTACCGTTGTTTTGATAGGTGGTCTTTGAGTTTTGATTTGTCCTTTACTTTGCAACCATAAATATCACATGTATTTTTCAATATTTTGTTCTCCCTACGGTTATGTCGCATTAAATAAGCATTTGTTGCGAATGTCTTGTGACATGTGCCTCATACATACAACTTGATCCTGTCGTGCACACTTTTGAAAAGATTTTTTTGTTTCAACAAACATATTTCCCTACACCTTGATGGTTTCTTTCATGGTTGGACAGATTAGATTTTGTAGACAATGCCTTTCAGTATATACTACACATAGTTTCAAAGTTGTTTCGCAGTCATCGAGACACTTTTTGTATATTAATGGGGGGGG